AAGGTTTTGTAACTGATTGTTTTACATTTAACATGGTTATTACCAAGTTCTGTGAAAGGAATGAAATGAAAAAGGCCTTTGATCTGGTAAAACAAATGAATCAGTTTGCGGTTATTCCTAATGTAGATACCTACAATGCCCTTTTTAATGGTCTCATTAGAACTGGTGCTTTAGATAAAGCCCACTATGTTTTGCAAGCCTTGTTGGAAAGTGGTTCTGTTCCTACAAATAAGCAATACATCACTTTAATCAATGGCATGTGTAGAGTGGGAAACATAAAAGGAGCATTGAAACTGCAAGATGAAATGAAAACGCTTGGTGTCTGCCCCCACAATATTGCTATGAGTGCTATTGTTAGAGGGCTTGCACATTCAAGGAAGATTGAACATGCTATTTGGGTTCTTGATTTGATGCTTGAGATGCAAATCATTCCAACTGTTGCTACTTTCACTACTTTAATGCACATTTATTGCAAAGAAGCTAATGTTGCAAAAGCTTTAGAATTAAGGAGAATAATGGAACATTGTCATGTGAAGCTTGATGTTGTTGCATATAGTGTTCTTATATCTGGCCTTTGTGCTAATGGTGATATTGAAGCTGCTTTTAAACTTTATGAAGAAATGAAACAAAGAGATCTATGGCCTAATACCTCTTTATATTTAGTTCTTATTGATTCTTTCTGTGTTGGAAATTATCATATTGAAAGTGAAAAACTTTTGAGGGATTTACAAGCCAGGGAACTGGTTTCTTTAAATTTGTTTGGAGGCGCCAAAAGATTGAATGAGTTATTGATAATTGCTAGAAAAGAATTAATTCGCTTGAGGTACAAAATGAGTAGAAAGTTTGGTTGATTGCATTATGCTTTTTCTTTCTCCAGAATGTGATTTGTTAGACGAGGCTCAGCCAACAGTTCTGTTACAAGTCCAGATATGATAATTCTGTATGGTTTGTATTGCATTCCTCCATTATCATTCTTTTGGTTTCTTGCACACTTGATCCTTATTTTTTTAGTGTAATTTCTAATTCACCCCATCGGAACTTTTTTTTTAGGTTACTCAGCATCAGGTTTGTACTTCATAGTCCATATGCATAAAATCCCACTTCTCATAATAAGGTTGTAGACAGTGTTACGAGAAGACATTTACAAGTCTATTAGCATAGGTCAGCTTCTTTTTTTTCCCTTCTAAACTAAATGTGTCATGATTAGTGTGCTATATGGTCTTGAAAATAGCAGTTTTTACTCAACAAACAAGCTGTTTGTATTAATGTGATTAGTGATGTTAGTAATCAGCTGTATCTGTTAATTTAATGGTATTTATATTTTCTAAATTTTGAAACATTTGCAGGTCCATACTTTTACTGGGTCAGTTCAATTTGCAGATTTGTTCCCTCTGTTTAGAGCAGTAGTGAGGAAAGAAGTGCAGCTTTCCCCTTGGTTTAAAACCTTTGGGAGACAAATAAAGCTCATAGAAAAGAAGTCCTTCATCATAAGGTAAGCATTTATCTATATATTACAAATTTTTAAGTGTCTAGTGATGATTTTATTCTTGATGATTTTTAGTATTTACTGCTGGTATACTGTTCTGAATTCAATGGCAATGGTGATGGGTGTGGAGTACACCTGTTAAATGGACCATTCCATTTTTACTATTATCCACTTTTCGTGTTTCATGAAGTCACTAAGGGTGTGCTTATTGTGAATTGCCATATGTGGGTCTAAAGTTTGCATCCAAAATACTTTTGCAATTGTCAGCTAATTATAAATTCTACATTAGCTTCTGTGATAGAGTCCTTAGTTTGAACTCTGATATAGGAAAGGATTTATTATGTTGGGCAAGCAATGGAAAGAGCCCAGAATTTGGTAAGTGTATACTAAAAGGAATTTAGTGGGAAGAGGTGGCAGGTTGTTAGAATTTGAGGGAATGGGTCGGTGAAAAGAGGGTTATATAGTTTCTGCTTGCACGAAAAAAGGGGAGGAGGTTCATTTTGGTTATTAGGCCAGGCAGAGAGAGTATTTTCTCTAAGGAGCTTTTGCTCTGGTTGAGGGAGCGATTCCTCTATTATACCATTACCCTCTCATTCATCTTGGTATCATATTTGTTCTAATTTCTGGGTTCCTAACATACCCACAAGGACATGGATGTTAATCTGAATCACATATAATATCTACCTTTTTTTTGTTCTGTGCTAACTTTTTTTAAACATGAATTGAATTTATTTAATTTTTACTAACAGAATTTTATTGGTGTGGTTGTAGTTTCACACCATGATCTAATAGTGGAGTCATTTTATCCTGGTGTTTTGGTTGTTACAGCTGAAAATCACTGGGATATACCATTTTCAATAGCAATTGATCTTGATTCTGTGACTACCACTGACTCTTCTGTTGGTTCTGTTATACTTAATTCAATCTATTCGAAAGCATTAAAATCAAAGTAATAATGCATCACCAGCTCTACTTCTTAGGTTGGCCTTCAAAAGTTCCTTTCCATAGAAGAGCATTGATATTTAAAGAACTAAAGTTCCTAAGTTGAAATTGGTGCAAGTGCAACCATACAAATCCTTATGTATCTGCCTCAGGGATTATTGGTAAGTTCTCATTTGTCTGTGCATTATACTTATCCCAAGCTGTTCAGAAGTTATCTGGTTGGAAGCTTGTAGTGGGAGATGTTTTCCGTACTCCATCAAATCCTGCTCTGTTGTGTGTGATGGTTGGGGATGGAGTTCAGATTCTTGGGATGTCTGTTGTGACCATATTGTTTGCTGCACTTGGATTCATGTCACCAGCATCCCGCGGAACGCTGATCACAGGAATGCTGTTTTTCTGTATGATACTTGGTATTGCTGCTGGTTATGTCTCAGTTTGGATATGGACGACAATTGGATTCGGCGATCAGAAGGGTTGGGTTTCAATCGCATGGAAGGCCGCATGTTTCTTCCCAGGCATTTCCTTTATGATTCTAACAACCTTGAACTTCCTATTGTGGGGAAGCCATAGCACTGGAGCCATTCCATTTTCACTCTTCAATTTTTATTATTATTTTTTTGGTTTATGGTCCCTTAAAATTTTTTTTAAAAAATAAGAAAAAAAAGTGGTTGAACCGGTTTGACCGACCGGTTCACCGGTTGAACCGGAAAATTGACCGGTTTAATGCAATTTGAAACAGGTCGACTACATAGTCGATCCAACTTAAGATTTGGACCGGCTGGACCACCGATTCCCGGTCCAACCGATCCGACCGGCCAGTTCGATCCGAGTTTTCAACCACTGTTTTATTTACAAGAATAGAAGTGTTGCTTGTAGCAACTCAGAATTCGGTCCTTGAGGAGCTGAATTCTGAGTTGCTTTTTTTATGATTTCGATCACGAATCTTGTTGGAATTCAGCCTCCGGAAATTCAAATTCTGAGCAGGGGATTTCTAATTTGTTTTAATGTTAAATTATTTATTAATTATATATAATATTAATAAAAATAATAAATAATATTATGTTTATATATTTATTTTAATATTTA